CCTCTCCTCTCCTCCCCTCCCCTCTCCCTCTCCCCTCTGTCCCCCCAGTGCAGCCAGTGGTCCAAGGCAGAGCTGACCCCCCGTGGGCACGGTCCCTCCAGCCCGGGTGCCCGGCTGCCCGCCAGCTACGCGGGGGACAAGTGGGGCAGTGAGATGCTGGCACGCAGCTCGCCGCAGGACGCCAAGGAACGTAGGTGACGTGTGCCAGGCCCTGGCTGCCCCTGCCAGCACCACGGCCCTGCAGCCCGGGGCTGCCCCCCAGGGCTCTGCTTCCCCTCCTCCCTCCCCCCAGCACGCTGGCTTTGGGCCCCGTGGGCGCACGCCGAGCGCGGTCCCCGTGTGAGGCTCTGCACGGTGGCTGCACCTTGGGGTGACACCACTTGGAGGTGCACAGGGCAGGTGCCAGGCAGTGCAACAGCCAGCAGGGCAGCCCCAAGGAGCTCCCTGACACGGGTCACAGGCTCCTGGGCAGCCTGGCACAGGCAGGACCAAGGGGTGGCCACCTCACCCACCCCAGCTCGTGCCTCCTGCCACTTCTGTCTGGCTGCCCAGCAGAGCTGGAGCTCCAAGGCTCAGAGGAGCAGTTATTACAAGTGGCAGAGAGGGCTGACAAGTAGAGGGAGCTGGGCTGCAGCTCAAAAACTAGACTCTAATCGTAGCTACTCACAGAACTGGCCTTCCACATCAGGAGACAGCAAGAAAATAAATGGCAATGCTGGGGCACAGAAAAACCTGAACCTCGTCCCCAGAACCAGTCAGCTGCCCTGCCCTCCACTCTCTCACGTGGTCTGGGGCTTTCCCCCTCCCTGCTGCCAACTTTGCAGGGCAATTTCCTTATTTCAATAGCCCAAAGGGAACTGAGTAACCCCAAAACAGGAAGATGACAAGCTAAAGGCAAAACACAACAGCAGCAGCAGCAGCAGCCAGCAGGGAAGAGGAACCACTTGGCAGCAGTGGCAGGAGCAAAGACACCCCTAGAACAGGTTCTAAACCCCTGAGCAAACTTCTGCTCCTTGGTGTTGTGGGGTTTACATCCTCCAGGGTGGGTTAGCAACAGGAGAAATGTGTATATAAAACAGGTGACAATGTGGGGCCTCCCCTGGCACCCCAAGTGAGTGTGTTCCTCACCAAAGTTCCTGAAGCAATGAGGCCAAAGCCTCAGGCCTGTCCCCAGGGTGACAGGCACATGGCCAGGACCCTCCAGCAGTGTTTAGATGCAGTGGTTGCTGGGTGGGTGATGAGCATTTGGCTGCCACTCTGTGATTCCCCCTCTCTGTTGCTCTGGAGAACTGCAGAAGTCAAGGTTTCTCCCAAAGAGGTTGAGAGGTGGAGAGTCTCCCTCCAAACCAAAGAGGTTTCCAAAGCTGAAGGAAGTTTGAGGGATGCTGGGGAGGAAAGGGGAGATTCCCCCAGGCTGCTCCAGCCTCTGAACTGTGGTGTTCTCCCTTTACACCTTTGTTCCTGATGGAAGTTTGAAGGCAAAATGTCATTGCTCAACCTATTTTAGAACTGAAATACAAAAGTAAGAGCTTTCCTTTGGTGTATTTACAGAGTTAATAAAAACCCTGAGCCACATTCTGATCTTCCTTACATTTCCCCTGCAAACACTTTGGTTTAGTAGGATTTGTGACTGAAGACTTGATTTCATTCCCTACTCTCTGCCTTGTGCTTTGTTTCCCCAGAACTTATTCATCAAATGGACGAGCTGAACGATGAGCTGCTAAAGAAGATCACAAACAATAAAATTCAGCCTCTCCAGAGGAATTTCAAAGTGGAAAAGCCTCAGGAAGTTTTTGTGCCCCTCACCTTTGAATCCAACACTGAAGAAGTCAAAGCCTGGCTGGAGGCAAAGTCATTCAGCAAAGAGTAAGCCCTGCTTTATGTGGGGAAAGCTGCTCCTTGCTTTAAAAAGGAGTGGGGAAGGCAGTTTGCAACATCACAGCTGGATCACTTGTATTTATTTCCAGAGCCTGTGTTGCAAACTCCATTTCATGAGGTCCAGGCTGTATAACCAGGGCATTCAGAGCCCAACCTCACACCCTTTCTTTCTCCTACACTATCAAATAAACCTGGTCTTACCCTGCAGCAAAAGGCCCAGTGAGCAGCTACAGACAGAGGAACAATCTCATTTATTCACATAACTCACAGCCAAGTGCTGCCCCACGTCATGCTGCTGCTTGTCTGGCCCCAGTTCACCAGTTCAGAGCACTGATCTTAGAGGAAAATAACTAATTAACCACCTAAACCTGTGGCCTGAGCTGTAAATTCCAGGTGACTGCCTGTCTCTGGAGAAGCTGCTGTGAAGTACCTCTGAGGAGGGCCCAGACCCTTGTCCAGGACTAGCAGATGGTCAACTCCTTGCCTTGGCCACGTGCAGCACGGTTGTCACCTCCTCCCTTTGTGTCTCCCCAGGACAGTGGAACACCTTGGCATCCTGACTGGAGCTCAGCTCTTCTCCCTCAACAGAGAGGAGCTGAAGAAAGTGTGTGGTGATGAGGGCAACAGAGTATACAGTAAAATCACAGTGGAGAAGAACCAACTGGAGGTAAGTAGCTTTCTGGACAGCTCCCCCCTGAGTGGGTGCCTGTACCAGCAGTGTCAGAGAGACCATTAAACAGACATTTTAAGAAATATAATATTTAAAACCTCACAAAACCAAAATGCCCACAAAAAAAAAAAACCCACACCACCTAAAAGATGCTGAGAAGTCTTTCAAGGAAAAAGGCCCCAGCTCTGTAAGGTGGATCACCACAGCTCCACCAACAAACCTGCCCTCTTCCCAGAACCACTCAGCCCTTTGAAAGCAGCATTAATTAGTGTCATTTAACTACAGCTTGAACTAAAGATTCAAACTTCCTCTTTGGTTTCCATTCTAGAAAAGCAGAGGAGAGTCAGAGCTCCAGGAAATCATGAAGCGTCGCCAGGAAAGGATTGATGCTGCTAATTAAAACCTCCCTGCTTTATTTCAGCAATTAGTCCTAGTAGTGCAGAAAAAAAAAGGGAAGGAGAGCGTTGACCCCAGTCCAGAGGAGAGACAAGGGTGGTGTCATTGCCATCAGAGTGACAGCCCCTCGACCACTCTTGATAAGGGCAGACAAGACCACGTCCCATTGGGAAAGGTGTTTTAATATTGCATGAAGTATTTTTTTTCCTTTTTTTTGTTTTTATAACTCTATATTTTATACTGAAATTTTATGTGCATGCAGAATTCACACGTCTGACAGTGGCTGGGCTCAAGCAAAGCCACCCTGCAAAGCTTTTCTCCCAGGGCTGCTCCTGCCCCCAGCCCCACGCTGGCTCGGGCACACAGCACACAACGAGCCAGCCTGCACCCCTAGAGTCTGCCCCACAGAAACAAGGCTTTCCCCCCACTTTCCTTTCCTCCCCTGTGGCAGATGTCCCCTGCAGCCCACTAGCAAAGGCCCCGTGACAATTCTCTGTCCTTCTGCTGGCCTCAAACACGGAGGGGATCAGTCTCAGCCCTTTGCTCCCAACCCAGTCACACCCAAAGCCCTCCCCTTGCTGCTCACCACTCGTCCCAGTGACAAGTTTTCATTGCAAAGAGTCACCTGAAACGCTTCCTAAGTACCCAAGAAACAAAAGCACACTTGGAAAGGCTGGTTTAATACAAAATAAATGGCCACGAGAAAAAAAAAATCATCATCTAACATAGTCAAGGCTGTTTTTCACTTCCTACTGTCCTCAATAACGTGATGTGGAAACGTCTCTCGTGACTTGTCACACACACTTCAGGTGCTGGGAAGGCTCCCACCTCCTCTAAGGGGTAAGCACATGCCCAGCTCTGCACAATTTGGGTCTGGCCTTGCACGTTGAAGAGGAAAAGCTGCAAAGCAGCAGCTGGAGAACACCCCTCTAAATCTGAGAATACTGACCCACCCCTCCATTTTGGCTTTGTTCTCCCAAAAATGTTTCTAATGGGTGATGTATTCTCTTAATCTTGAAACAGGACATCACCAGCACCAGCAGAATTAGGGAGCAGGCAGGGGACTTAGAGGGGGGCGTCGTGGTTTTAGTCACAGCCCTGCTGGCTCGCCACAGCAGCTGGAATTTGGGAAGGGCACTCACCTTGTCAGGGTGGGATGATGAGGACAACCCTCCTGAGAAGCCCTGGCTCTGGAACTGGGGGGAGCTGGGAAGCAGGTGTGAACACTGGCGAAGCACAGGAGGCTAAACCATTCCTAAAATGAAAATAAAACCAGGTGGTGAGCTAGAAAACACAGCACCCACCCTTCCTGTGGGCTAAAGAGGAAAACAAGTCTCAGAGAGTTACAGTGACTCGGGGTTATAACAGCAGTGCACACAGCAGTTCTTTCTGTAAATTGGGGAGCCAGGGGAGCATTTTGTGAAGTAAATCCATCAGCAGCCCTTATGCAGAAGTCACTTTGAAGATGTTCTACACGACTGAGCTGTGCCTCTGCTCCATTGTGCTGCCTGCAGACCACGCTCCAATGCACTGTCCATGAATGTGACTGAACGAAGGATACACTGATAGAACCATGCACTGTGTAAGATTTATTAAAATAGTTAAGTTATACTTATAACTCCTTCTCTGGCTCTTTCACTGGGGTATAAATGAAAGCAACGGGACACAAAAGCAGTTGCTAAGGGATGGCTTTTTCCTAACAGCTCGTTGCTCCCAAATACACAGGAGTGTCTGAAATCAGGTTTCTTTGTGTTCCTGGCAGCCTGCAGTCAAAAAGGACGTTATGGCCTTGATAACATTCATGCCTGACACCAAGGGAAGGTGAAAATCCCACGTGTGATAGCAACCGAGCGCCAGGGAAGCCACCAGCTGAATCCAAACCAGGCCCCTTCTCCTCATCTCTCTTACCTCTGGACTAGGCAGCTGAGGCAACACTCAGTGTTTCCACACACGGACGCTGCCCAAGGTCCCTCGTGCACGGGCGAGCTCCAAACCCCCAGCCCTGGTTGGTGCCACAGAGCACAGGGCTTAGAACGGAGAGGAGGGCAGGGATGTTCCAGGGAGACTCTCTGACTGCTTGCCAAAGGACCCTGGAGACAATGGGAACACGTTTCCAATGCAGTCACAGCACTCAGACAGGACTTCACCCAAACGCCCCCTCCCATTACCCTCTTCTCATATTGGACAAAGCATGAGAAGGTCTTAAAAAAACCCCTGTACCTCAGGCAGG